CTAAGCCCTGGTGTTTCCTTGTTGAACAATTTCACGGAGCAACAACAGACAGGCCACTCTTTGATGAAAGACGGGCAGACGAGGATCTTCTCGCCTAGAAGTCGAAACAGCTTCTTCCTCCACTTGGGAAAGAGGTTTACGGGGAGTGCGGCTTCTGATTGGCTACGGAGGCAACCCTGCCCCCAAAGTTTTCCCCGCCTTGGGGAAAAGGTCAACGGGCAGCGAGGCTTCTGATTGGCTATGGCCCTGCCCTTAATATTTTTCCGTTTTGAGGAAGAGGTTGTCGGGGAACGCGCCTTCTGATTGGCTAACAAACTAACATTTTATGAATCCCAGATGCAGGCCTAGGAGTGATTTTGCCCCTGGGATGGGACCCCTGGGTCCTGAGATGGCCTGGACGCCGCCCCCACTTGTCACTGGAGACTTTGAGAATTGGATCCGATCCCAAGATGTTGTAGGGGTTGGAAGCCCAGACCGCACATGTGCAGTACCACGTTGTCATTAAGTGCCCAGAGTCCCTGAGACCTGAAGCTTCCAGAACCGTTTGAGCAACTACTGGGGCATCATACCCAAGAATTTGTGTCAGAACTTTCTGTACCATATAATGGCACCCTTCCTATGGAAAACAAAAACAAAAGCAAAAACGCACCATTGCTGTTGAGTGGATTCTGACTCATAGTGACCCTGTAGGATAGAGTAGAACTGCCCCAGACGGTTTCTGAGGAGCGGCTGGCGGATTCGAACTGCCGACCTTTTGGTTAGCAGCCAAACTCTTAACCACTATGCCACCAGGGTTCCTCCTACGAAAAATGCTCCTCTTTTGAATACTTAGGTTCGTCCCCTGTCATTGAGATCAGAGACTATTTCAATCGTAGCCCCTTCCACTGGCATCCCCCCACCCCCTCAATTTTCTCTTGCGTAGGGCGTAGGACGGACAGCTTCCTCAGCTGAAGTGTGGTTTGAGGTTGTCGTACTGATCCCTGCCTCTTGGAGAATTCCTCCACCCACACTCCAGTCAAAAGGGTAACTACTCCTCCCCTGTTGCCATGTTTATTCCATCAGATTTGACCCTTCCCTGACCTCAGCTGATTGGTGACAGAATCTCTTACTTCCAATTAAAAACAGACTTGAGTAACTGAAATATACTTGTGATAATTATCAAGTTTAAAGACGGTACTGGAACATATGGTTTTAATTTTATAAATGCAGTTTAAAATGCGTAATCAAGTAGTATTAGAAGATCCCTTGAAAGTATTACTGAAATATGCAATATTTTAAAATAAAATTTGCAAACTTAAAAGCCTACGTTTTTGGATCTGTAACTTTAACAATTAAAATATTTAACAACCCCATATATGATGGGAAAAAGATGACACTGAAAAATATCTAATTTTTAACTTTATTTTTATTGTTGACACTATTACAGTTAGATAGAACGACCACAACCATATTAGCAAACCAAAAACCTGTGCACAGAAACAAGATGAAGAAAATATAACAAGATGTTAACCACAGTCTTTGGATGGTGAAAATATGGGTGAGTTTCTCTTCTACAGTTATGCAACTTTTAAAGTTTCTATAATGAACATGTACTGTGTTTATAATGGAAACAGATGTATAACAAGGGCAAATTACCAAAATACTATAATAAAGACCACTCAAGGAAACCGAGACATAATATTTAACCATGATCCCACAACGACCACACAACTATTTTTTGAACTGTTTTCAATATTTCTTCCCATCTTTGACTCTCCTCTGCATACTTATATGAACACCGTAATAATCAGACTCGTGTACCGGAACAAGCTGAAGGAAATAAATCAAGACGTTAACAGTAGTTGTTGGGTGTTGGGAATATGGGTGAATTTTTTTTCCTCTACTGAATTTTCCAAGGTTTTCTATGAGTATGTATTATATTTGTAATGGAAAAATACATATATAAACTTTATTACCAAGACACCAAAGACCATTCAAGGAATTTGAGACAAAATATTTAACCATAATCCCACAACGACAACACTATTTTACTTATTTTCCACATTTTATAGACTTTAAGTATACATAATTAACACTGTTATAATCACAAGCTTGTGTACTGAAACAAGATGGAGGAAATATATCAAGATGTTAATAGTAGTTGTTGGGTGTTGGGAATATGGGCAAATTTATTTTCTTTTCTAATTTACTGTATTTTCTAATTTTTTTCCTCTGGGTATGTATTATGCTTGTAACAGAAACATCCATAATAAACTTTGTTACCAGAACACTGTAATACGGAACATTTGAACGAATTAAGAGAAAAAGTATTTAAGTGTAATTTCACAATTTAACATAGCAACTATTTTGAATATACATTTTGACACAGTTATAATCATAAACCTGTGCACAGAAACAAGAAAAAACAAGATATCGAAGAACGTATCTGTCTTTGGATGGTGGGAACATGGTATTTTTTTTTTTCCTACTTTTCTGTATTTTCCAAATGTTTGATAATGAGTTCAAATTATGTTCACACTGGAAACGTGATTGATTATAAACTTTTCAGTAACACTACAATAAAGAACACTGAAGGAATTTAAGAAAATAATGCTCAACTATAAGCCTACAACATAACAGCTTTTGACTATAAGCGTACATTTTTAAACAGTTATAATTGTAGTATAAATATAATTTAGTGTCCTGCTTCTTCCACTTAATATTCTGTAAATATATTTCCATGTTGCTACGTAACTCTTCATGATTATCATTTTTAACAGCTGCATAAGAGTCCACAGGGTGCATGTTTCAGATGCACTTACTTAATCACTCCCCTGTCGTCTGGCATTTAAGTTGTTCCTAATTTCTCACTAATGTAAGGTTGCAAAAGGACCCCTTGAAATTTGGCAAGCTGCTTTCTGAAAGGTTTCACTGATGAATACTGCCAACAGTAACAAGCCTACCCAGTTTACCACGACGACATCAACACTGAGTGCCATTTGAAGGATCCTCCTCTGGTACAGCACACCTCTCTGCTCCTCAATTTCCATGCTATGCCTGTTCCAACCCGGGATCTTTATGTGCAACTGGCCAACAAGGACGCCCGCCATGCCATCAAAAAGGCCTATTCTTCCCAACTGTCCAGACAGCTTGCTCAGCTCCTTCTCACCAGTCCCTGCTTCTGGTGTTTTCTTCTGTCTGCTTCCTCTCCTTCCTAGGTTTGGACCGACTAGGACACCCTTCTTTGGCGTACATACTCATTTCTGCTTCTTGCTTGCAGCTCTACAACCTCCCTAAGCTTTGGTATTCCCTGCAGCTTTGACACACTCTCCACAAGCCCTAATCTGCACACCTAGAAGAGTGTGGATTTCAGTTTTGCTTGCTCAAATGATCTGCTCTGCTCTTTTGCTCACTTAATCTATAGATTCTTTTTTTTTTAATTTTTTAAATTTTTTGATTTTTTTTTCCCCAGCCAACTCAAAGTCTGAAATTTCTTAATATAGTCATTATGTGAGGGGAGGGGAAGCGAAGGAGTACAGATGGTCCACAGACAAGGACACAAGAAACATTAAGATGTGAGCAAATTTGTGATTAAGTGTAAAACTGGGGAGATCAGACAAACACAACACTCTAATGGAGAGCTCAGAAATACTTAGGAGGGCCGATAGAGAAAGGAACAGATGGTTAACAAAACAAATTAAGGCTGCTGGGGAACCTGAGTCTACGTTAAACTTGGGTTGAGTGTGAATAAAGTTTTTTTTTTTTTTTTAATTAATTAAGAAAGACACAGGGTTAGAGGGTCAGGCAAGTGAAGAAGAAGAGAATTAAGTTTAGCGACAGAAAGATCTAAGGATACTAGCTCCTGGGAACCCAGGGTGCAAACTGACTTGTGGCTGCATATATTGACAATGCACAAGCGACCAAAGCCACGTTGTTACTTTTCACTTAAGGCAGGAAGCGCACAGAGGAAGTGATGAGCCGGTAGCCTGCATTCCTATTTACAACAGGAGAGCCTCTCCCTACCTCTCCCTAGGGTTCTCAACCTTCATTAGGCATGGCCATGTTCTAGTGATGGTTGCAAGCCACTACTTAAAGGCAAAGACATAATAAGGTTTAGACAGAAAAGCTTCAGAGTTTGTGAATTCAGTACTGAACACATATTGAGTTTAAAAACAAAACAAAACAAACTTTTTAGTATTTTTGTATGAGAGCCACCATGAGGTACAACGTGGCGACTGATCAATTTAGGTCATGAAAGGCCAATCCGTGCATTGTGAAGGCTTACATAGTGTTAAGTTCCAGAGCGTCGGTGTAGGTGAGATAAATGGCTGCCAAAGGAAGCTAAAAGTACTTCTCTTTTCAAACAGCAATGGATCACATTTAATCTTTCATGCCTACACCTGCAGAGGAATACTTGAGTAAGAGAGCAAAACAGGAGTCAGTTGCTCAAAAAAGATCCTGATGGGGTTCAAATTATTTACAATAAATCTTCTCAGGATTCAAGATCCTTACAAATATATTCTTATTTGTCACTCTCTCCCGCCCTGCCCCACCCTCCCTCCCAAGTCAAGGATTACCAGATAAGGTGCCTCTGCACTGTACACTGTGATGCGCATTGCATTAAATCCAAATGGATGTGATTACCATTTTGCTATGATTTTCTATTTTATATACATCTCCGGAAATATTTATAGGTCACAGGAGTGTCATTTACAGTTGATTGGGACAATTTCTAGAGCCACAAATACTCAGAGGGTCCCTTCTCATTATGTTTACTCAGATGAGAGGTAAGACATGAGCTATGGCTTTCCCACATACACACACAGGTTTGATGAGGGAGAGCTAAGATCGAAGGAGTCTCCGTACTCAGTTTCTTTTCAGTATGGGTTTTCTGATGTTCAAGAAGGTGCAAACACACCAAGGTAGGTTTCCTACTTATCATGGGTTTGTTTGAATTCTCTGTTGTTTAACACAGGTCAAGTCCTAATGGAAGGTTTTCCAACATTTACACTTGGATGTTCTCAGCCGGCGTGGGAGTTTTGGTGTCTGGCAAGGGATAGACGGTCACTGAAGAGCTGCCCGCAGATGTCACATCTGAAGTACTTCTCGTCGGCCCTATCATTGGCACTGGCGCTGGTACTGGCATGCTCGGTATAGCGCGAGCTTTCACCATAGACATTTCCTGGCTCATATATGATTACTCGGGCATGGGTTTTCAGATGCTCACCATAGGCCAAGTTAGAAGTGAAGGTTTTGGCACATTCCTGGCAGTCATAGTACGGTTCTTCAACCTGGATCTCTTGATCTTCGCCCTCCTCTTCTGGGTCTTCAATCCCTGCACCATCGGGCTCGTCAGCATCTCCCTCAGGCTCCTCAGCTCGCTCTTCTGGGTCTTCAATCCCTGCACCATCGGGCTCATCGGCATCTCCATTGGGCTGTTCAGCCATCCCATTGGGCTGCTCAGCCTCCCCATCAGGCTCGGCAGCCTCTCCGTCAGGCCCTTCGGCCTCTTCATTGGGCTCAGCAGCCTCCAAGTTGGGCTCAGCAGCTTCCACTTCTGGCTCGGCAGCCTCCACTTCCGGCTCGGCAGCCTCTACGTTGGACCCCTGAATCCGCAGCACTTCCTGTGGAACAACAAAATTGGCTTCAACCTCCTGGGCTTCTTCTTCCAGGTGAAGCTGCTGGTGTTTAACTAAGATTGTGCTATGAATAAAAGATTTCCCACAGTCCTTACATTCGTAGAAAGGCGAATCTGCGTTGGGAGGCTCAGAAACGAATGAGGTATGAACAAATGTGGCCCCGTAGTCAAAGGGCTCATCTTTCTCGTGGATCCTCATGTGATCCCTAAGGTCGGAGTGATTGAGAAAGGATTCTCCACAGGTTTTACATTCATAGTTTTTTTCTTCAGCTTGGCTTCTCTGAAACTCGGTGAGGGCTAGGCCTGGGACAACCGTATCCTCGCATATCTTGCCACGCTCTAGCTGATCCTCTCCAGTGTGAATTTTCATGTGTTCATGAAGGACAGAGCTGTGAATGAAGTCCTGCCCACACACCTGGCACCTGAGGGTTTTTGACACAGGAGGACTCTTCCTTGAGGACCGCCTCCTCTTCTGCGTGTGAAGCGTCAGGCGCCGCATGCAAGCCTCATTATACTGCCTACTGACAAAGAATGGCTCTCTCTCATGCATTTTCTGATGCTCAAAAAGGAAGTCATTACTAATAAAAGATTCCCCGCACTGTGGGCACTCATAGAGCTGGTCTCCAGTGCCATTTTTCTGAGATTCACCAAAGGAACAGGTCTGGATTACCGAAGGCCCACACACACGGATATCCATGAGATATTCCCGGCCGTGAACTTTCTGATGATCCCCGAAGTCGTTGAAGTCAGCAAAGCCCAGCCCACAGTCCTTACATTCATAGATGGTGTCATCTGACTCATCCTTCTGAGGCTCGTCAAAGCCGACGCCCTGAATGACAGAGCTTCCAAACGGTGTCCTGCCGTGGAACCTCTCCCGACCATAGACTTTCTGGTGGCGGCCAAGGGCTTCACTGGTAGCAAAGCACTTCCCACACTCCTTACATTCCATGCGCACGCACTCTTCAGCATAGCTGGTCTGGGGGTCCGTGAGGGCAAGGCTGCGGATAACGGACCTTTCGTATGTCTTCCTTCCAGAGGGTTTCTCTCGGTCGTGAATCTTCTGATGTTCACTGAGGTCGGAGCTGTGAACAAAGGACTCCCCACACTCCTGACACTTGTAGAATCTCTCTCTGGTGTGACTGTTCTGCGGTTCACCAAAAGGGAGGGAGTGGATCACAGACGTCTTGTAGTCCCTGCACTCAATGTACTTCTTTTTTGCACGGGCCTTTTGATATTCACGGACATGTGAATTAGGGGCAGAGGATTCACCCTCCTTCTTCAACTCGCTGGGTCCCTCTCTAGCAGGACTGTTTTGAGGTTCAGCACAGGACACACTGTGTATAACCGTGTATTTGTTATAGTTAGCCCCTTCAAAAGGGTTCTCTCTGGCATCAATCTTCTGCTGCCTATTAAGGTCTGAGATATAAATGGAGGATTCCCCCTTCTCATTACACTCAGCAAGTTCGTTTCCAGTGTGATGTCTCGGAGGCTCAGCAGCGACTATGCTCTGGATGACAGATCTCCCACACACCTTCCCTTCATAGGCGCTCTCTCCAGCATGGGCTCTCTGGCATTGGATCGCGTCGGCACTCTGGACGGTAGACTCGGCGATCACCTTCGGTTTACTGAGCTCCGCAGCACTGTGGCTTTTCTGGGGGTCAGTAAAGGCCAATCTGTGAATAACTGATCTCTCACACCGTCTCCCTTCATAGACACTCTCTTTAGTGGGAAATCTCTGCTGTTCCTCGGGGTTGGCACTAATGGTAAATGCTCTCTCATTCTCCTCATTGTCAGGTGGTCTTGTTATGGTGTGACTTTTCTGGGACTCGGTAAAGGGCAAGCTACGAATGACAGATTTCTCATATTCCCTGCCTTCATAGAGATTCTTTCGAGAATGGTTTTTTGGGTGCTCACTGAGATCTGAACTTTGGATAAAGGCATCCCCACCATCTTTAAATTCATAGAGCTTCTCTTTAGCAAGAGTTTTCTGACGCCTTTTAAGGGACTGGCTGGGAATAAAGGTCTCCTCACACACTTTACCCTGATTTTCAAATAGGTTTCCTCTAGCATGGATTTTCTGGTGTTCTTTCAGGGCAGAGCTATGCAGGAAGGTCTCCCCACACACCTTACATTCATACGTTTTCTCTTTACTGTAAATTTTCTGAAACTCATTACGGGCCAGGCTGGGCTTAAAGGTTTCCTCATGCTCATTATCTGTGTCATCACCGAAGTTCCCTCTACCATGGGTTTCCTGGTGGTCGACCAGGGCAGAGCTATGGAGGAAGGTCTCCTTACACACCCTACATTCATAGAATTTCTCTTTACTGTACATTTTCTGGAGCTCGCTAAGGGTTGGGCTGGGCATGAAGGCTTCCTCGTATTCCTGATCCTGACATTCCATGAGATACTCTCTCGCGTGGATTTTCCGGTGCTCAGTAAGAGTGGCGCTCTTATTGAAGGCCTCCCCACACTCCTTACACTCAAAGCGCTTCCCTCTGGCCTGGCTTTTCTGAACCTCACTAACGGCCACGCTATGGATGAAGGATTCGCCGTACTCATAGAGATTCTCCCTCGTGTGCATGATCTGGTGCTCAACAAACTCTGAAATAACACTGAAAGACCGCCCACACTCATCGCACACATAGGGCATGGCCTCAAAGTCAGCCGGCAGCAACTCGGTTGGGGATGGCGAGCTGAGGCTGCTCATGCCCACAGCTTCCCTCATCTTGCTACATTCAAAGGGCTTCTTTCTCACATAGCCTTTCTGATCATGAACTGAGCCCTTCCCATCTGTGTCCAACTGATAGCGCCTTTTTCTTTCAAGAACTCTCTTTCTGGACATGAGGCTGGAGTTAAGGTTGAAGCCTCCCCCGAGCACGCTCCCCTCACAGCCCCGCTCCTGAATTACCGATTCCCTCTTGCTGAAGGAGATGTCTTTCCAGTCATCATCGGGCATCCTGGGGAACCTCTGTGGCCAGTCGTTAGATTCCCTAGCTCTTCCCGACTTGGAGTTGCGTGAGACATCCTTGATGAACTTCTCCATGATCACCCCGTGGGAGGACTCGTCTTCACATATTCCCCGCCGATGGGTTGACTTTTTGGCTTCAGGCATGGTTTTCAGACCTGAAAGGAAATCCTAAATGTAAACACACCCTGGCCCCTATGCTTCTACAAGGTAACGGTGGGATTCAAGGGGAGCACCCTTTTGTAAAGGTTTATCACTACACCTCACTGAGGCCATCACATCCATCTGCCTGGTCCTCACCTCGACTGGTGCTTGGGTAGGCACTTCTCTTGGACCTTGATGAGTGGCCCTGTGTCAGGTGGGAGTGTCCGTCATCCTCTGCAAGCTGGACCCCTGCGCACAGGGAGAAGACAATGGTTCACGTTAGAATCAGGAGATCAAGGTTCATCATATAAATCTCTCTCTGCCCTTCTCTAAGGTACTAAGATGAGACAGCCCATATCCAATTCCTTTGTATCTAGTCCTGAACCCACTCTAATCTGAATTTTAATTAATTCTCCTGACCCCGCCTAGAAATTTGTTACCAAGACCTCCTCTGTGTCCCTAAATTCAGTGCAATTCTTCATGGTCGTCACCCTCCTTGCAGCCACTTAAAAATCTTGATGTCCTCTTTTTCACTGGTTTCCATGGTTCTGCTCCTGCCTCTTGACTGCCCTTCCTCCACCCATTCTCGAAACCTGGAGCGCCTCAGGGCTCCAAGGTGTGACCCAACACCCTCACCACAGACCTCTACCCCAAGCACCAGACCTGTGTACCACACAACCCCTACTAGGATAAGAACTTCACTTAGATATGCCTTCTAGGAGAGTCCAAACCACTGTGTCCAAATCAGAACCCATGATCCCATTCTGGATGTATCTTTAAAACTCTCCACTGTCACCGCTCTAGAAAGGATCTCAGCTCTTATAGCAATAGGCTTCTGCCTCTCCCCCCCGCCACCCTGTACTCCATCTTCCACCCAGAGCCAGAGCGATTTCTGAAAAACACAAATCTCATCATTTACTCTCATTTGAAGTCTTTCAAAGGCTTATTACTTTGAAACTCCAAATGCATTAACACAGGTTACAGCATCCTGCAGAAGCCCTGGTGGCACGATGGTTAAGTGCTCGGCTACTAACAGAAAAGTGAGCGGTTCGTATCCACCAAGCGGCTCTACAGAAAAAAGGCCTGGTGATCTGCTCCCATAAAAATCACAGCCTAGGAAACCCTACGGGGCAGTTCTACTCTGTCACATGCGGTCGCTATGAGTCGGAATCAACTTGACAGCACACAACAGCAACAACATAGCATCCTGCAGAGCTTTAGGAGAATAAGGTGACAAAGTACGCCAATGAATAGACTCCTCATGACCAAGAGAAGCAGTGGCTCACCCAGGGAGAGCAGCTTCCTGTAGTTCTCCATGTTGTCCCGAATTGGGTTCTGAGGCTTCCTGTCCTCAGTGAGATCCACTACATCTTGGTAGGATTCCGCATCCTGAAACGTCAAACACAGACCTCTCAGTGGAGTCCGTTCCCACTAAGGACCATATAGCAGGAGAACGCTGGCAACAGTGGAGCAACATGTACCAAGTTACACAGAGAGAGTGTGCTCACAGTACTCAGGGCTCTGAGGGGTCCTATTGAGTCGAACTAGGGGCCTGCTGTGTAGCTACCTTGGCGCTACACTCTGAGGAGGATCCAAAAGATGCATGACATACATTCCTTGCCCTCATGCAGCTTATAATTTGGTTGGAGAGAAAAGACTCGTGAAACAATTAGAGAACAATTACACAGTAAAGTGGGGGTACGGAGAATAAACACTAAAAGGGCTTAGTTGAGGGACAGTGCAGGGTGGGCTGGAACAGTGAGGAAAGGTTTTGTGGGGGGCCCTGAGTGGGGTGCCTTGAGTGCTGGGTAAGGTTTGGATATGTAAAGCCTGAACAGGCTCAATATCAAATATGTAGGTGCAAGCGGGGAGCAGAAAAGCACTCATTTAAGCAGACTTGTCAGGAATTGTCATTTCAACCTCCCTCCCCATCATATCCTGTGCACACTTCATCACACACCACCGCTACAGGGTGGGATATTCCGGGATGCACAACTTCCACACAGCCCAGGAGGAGCTTTAAACACTAGAGTTGCCAGAGGGCTGCTGCTGGAAGCATCACTAATTTCAGTGAGTGGTAGTCCCGGGGGGAGGAATGACACCGAGGTCTGTAGACAAATCTGGGAGGGGGGGTGCACAGTGACGTGGAGAGACCACAGGCTGTACAGCCAGAGAGAACTCCAGAGCCGGAGGAGGATGTGCCATCTATTAGCTATGCGACCTTGGGAAAAAAACCTTTTTGAGCTTCAGGATCGTCTGTGAAATGGGGTCCAAGCATCTGCCTTGCTGTGGGTGAGGCATTTCTGCAATGCAACACGTCACTTAAATATTAAGAAAAACTAAGAAATCGTAGCTGTTTCAGTATTAAGTTTACTACAGTTCTACTGCTGGGCAGAGACAGGACCATGATCCCATAAACCCTCTGCCATCAAGTCAATTCTCACTCATAGCAACTCTACAGGGCAGAGTAGAACTGCCCCATAGAGCTTCCAAGGCTGTAATCTTTATGGAAGCCGACTGCCACATCTTTCTCCCACAGAGTGGCTGGTGGGTTTGAACTGTCAACCTTTTGGTTAGCAGCCAAGCACTTAACCACTGTGCCACCCTAGGGGCATGCTAAACCAAAAAAAAAAAAAAAACCCAAACCCATTGTCATCGAATCAATTCTTACTCATAGTGACCCTACAGGACAGAGAAGAACTGCCCCATAGGGTTTCCAAGGAGCACCTGGTGGATTCAAACTGCCGACCTTTTCATTAGCAGCCTGAGCTCTTAATCACTGCGCCACCAGGGCTCCGTCAGCCACATAGGAATGTAGCAAAACAAGGTGGGGCTCCTGCAGAACAAGGCACACCTCCCACTGAGAAAGTAAGTAAGCTGGGACACCAAGGTTGAAGAGGAAAGCTTCAACTATACATCCATTAAGAAAACAAAACAAATAACAAAAACTACATAGGGCAAGGAAATGAGGCAGAGATTCAAAAATGAAGCTCTTCCTAGGTTAGGGCTGAGAATTTCTAGGACAGCAAAAATCAAGCTACAAAAGCAGGAGGCATTGCAAACTTGGTGCAGCGACCACCTCATAGCTGTACTGTTTTTGTCGCTTGTGGGGAGAGCCTCTGCCAGGTCCCTGAGAGCAGGACCGTCTTATTCCCACCTGTGCCTGGGTCTCCCTAGGTCACAGACCTCTATCACCACGAATGCAAGTAGAGATGGTGGGAGGGAGGGGAAGTGCCCAGAGGTCACAACTCAGGGTGGAGGCTAACTGAGTGACTATGGGCCACAAACTCTGGAGGACGAAGGTCAGGAGTCACCCCACCCCCCGTCCTGACAGACTCCCAGGGCAATGAGAAAGGGTAAGGCCATTTTTCATACTGTTCTCCCATCTGCCTAATCTGAGTACAAAGGATGCACATTTAATCTTGAACTGCATTGCTCCTATGAAACAAAAGTGATGCTTTCATTTAAAATTAAGTTAACCTATACAAAGTGGGTAGCTCTAAGGCAACAGTTCCCTTTGTATCTGTAATCAACAATGGTAGCTAACTGCATATAAGCTGCAGTCAAGTTAAACTTGAATGGATGTTGTCCTGAGAACAATGTTCATACAGCACAATTTTTTATAACATGGCCTATACATGTAAACAATTACAAGATTTACACATAATACTCAAGGAAAATGAATTTTGTTTTGTATACCCCCTAAATGTAATTTGTATATTCTTATTCTGCTGCTTCTACCATGCTGTTATTGTTGTTGTGGGCTGTGGAGCTGATTCCAACTCATGGTGACTCCATGTGACAGAGCAGAACTGCCCCATACAGAGTTTTCTAGGCTGTAATCTTTATGGGAGCAGATTCAGGTCCTTTCTCTTGTGGAGCCACAGGGTAGGTACAAACCACCATACTGAGTTAGAGATCAGTGGTTTCCAGGCTTTTGGCCTGTGCACATGGGACTGGGCTGTCAACTCTTCACACACTGCTCTGCTGACTGGCAGCCTTCCTGGCTCCCTACTGAAGGCCAGAAAGGTCTCAGGAGTCCTTGTGAGTCCCTGGCTGGTACACCGCCAGGCTGACTGACCCGCCCAGTGACCTAAGTGCTGATGAGTGGGAGAGAGTTTCTCTGACTACGAGGATGAACCAGAAAACAGGCAGCTGCCCTGGCCACTGGTCACCTGTGGGGAGTGGCTGGGCTCTCAGCCCAGGTGGATTCTGGTGAGTGGATGAACACTGAACTTTGGAGGAGGAAGGCATCTTCACCATGGCAGTACACGTGGTCTTTTACGAAAAAGTGGACCCCTGTCATACCTGGGAGGCGGACTCGAAGTCCATCATGGAGTCCCTGTCATTGTCGTCCTCCCTCTCCATCTCAAAGGTGGTCTTCTCCATCAGAGGGAGGGAGAGGTTGTGTTGAAGCAGTCCTAGGGTGGGAAAAGGTAGATGAAGGAAGGAGGCCACAGATCTGTGCCAGCTACTCACCCTCTGGGTCCAGTGAGTAGGCACATGCGTGTGTGTGCGCGCTCACTGATGTCAAGATTTATTCTCCTCTGCATTCTGCCCCAGTCAACAGAGCAAGCCCTGCCACATCTTGAAGTCCCAACCTGTCCTCCTATTCCCATGATGTGGAAAGCTATGTGGTGTGTGCGGGCTTGGAGCCTGGGCGCTCAGCCGCTGCCTGCCCTATTCCTCAGTTTCTCAGCCTCCTGTCTCAACTGTAAAACGGGTACAATACTTGAGGGGCCTGCCTCATAGGGCTGCTGTGAGGACTCAATGTTCTACACTGGAAAGGCGCCCTAAGTTTATGAATGTGGGTAGATATCATAGATGTCAGTCCTGATGATGACATCCATTTCCTGATCTGGAATTTAGGGGTGCTCCACTGCCTACTATGAGTTCCTCCATGTGCAGAAAGAAATGGTCTTTCTGCTGGTCCAGGTACCAACAGTACACTAACATATAATTATCTCCTTCGCAATCCTCTTCCAATCAATAAGGAAGCCTCCAGCTTGAAGCGAAGGTATCTAATACTTCTTAACACTTGCTCAAGGCCTTGGCAGGCATTTGCGGTTGGCAGCATTGCTGCAATGTGTTTATTTTTCATTCTTATACCTCCTAACCACAGCACTGTATACACTTCAATTTTTGCAGCAACACAGATTCTTTTTCAAATAAACTTACAGTTAAAAAAAAAAAAAAAAGCATGTCAGCTGAAGAAAATCCTGAGTAAAGGGTAGTACAGGTGGAAATGGGTGTATGTGACAAATACTGTGAAGGTGACACTGCTTGCTGAGTGAAGTTTAAGGAACAGGAGCCGTGGACCAAACTTTGGGAGAACGGGAATACATCCAAACCGAGCAGCAAGGAAGGATGGTCCAGGCCCTCTCCAACTGGCCACCTCCCTTTTCCTAACCCGACTCTCACCCCATTTACTCTCCCTCGTGGACGCACACACACATTAGTGCAGCATCCAGTGGAGGGTTGGAGCAGATGACTTACTGTTCCGGGATGTCCTCGTGTACGGCCAGTGGTCTCGAAATTCTGTGTCTCTGTTCCTGCCCCTCCAATCCCAGTCACCTGACAACGCCAGATGTCAGAACAGCGGTCAGCAGCGTGCTTGCACACACTGGGCCTCCCTCACATGCACGTGCCCCCCATATGGATGGGAATCATCCTGCTTCCTTCCTTGAGGACACAGATCCAGAGGTGAGGCTTCCAGATGCCCAAGCTCCTGAGCTCAGCCTCTTCCCACTGCCCTACACCGGAGCACTAAGCAGGGCTGACTTTAAAGTTCAGATGCGAATGCCCCCTCTAGACACTTCTGCTAGCTGTCCAGTTCCTGAACAGTCAAATCCAAATTCAGAAGAAGAGACTTCAGACTCTCTACGGTCTGGCTTACCCCACCCAATCTTAATGTGCACGTTACTTTCCTGCAAAGGAACAAAACCCAACAAAACAAAACACATACTCTCCCCAAAAGCAAGTCTTGGGGGTGGGGGGGTAAACTTCACCAAAGTACCTTTAATTAACAAAATACCTTTAGAGGCAAAAGGGGAGTGAACTCTGCCCCTCCCGGGGGTGGGGAAGGAGCACAGCTTGTAAGTTGCCTGCTGCAAATTTCAAATAGCTTTTAAATACTTTTTTTGCTTAAAAAAAAAAAATACTCCACTCCATAGTCAATGTCTGTTTTGATATCAAAATGCCTCACTACATCTTCCCCTCTGATCTCTGAGTTGCACAGCTCTAGGGAAGGCATGCCATCATATCGGAGGCCTCTGACACCCAAGGAAGCCTGTGCGTAACATGCCAAACTCTCAGGGGAACTAAAGGTGAAGAGACCAGGGTGGCTACTTACTGCAGAAGGAGTGCACTGAGCGGGGGGGTGGGGACTCTGCGCCGACCCGACTCATGTCATCATCACTGTGGACATCGTCGTCTGAGGGGACATCAGCCACAAGTCAATGTCGCATAGTCTCTTGCTGGTACCCTCACCAGTCTCCTGAGATTGGCCAGTTTCCATCCCCGCCCCCGCCCGACCATCCAACCTCCATAGGAAACCGGAGCCGTATGACTCTGTTATTTCTCAGCTCCACACCCAGCAATGGCTTTCCACAGCTCTTGCAACTTAGAGACTGGGCAGAGAGCATGACAACGGCCTCTCCTATCTCACCCTCAAATAAGAATACCCAACGTACCATTCTGTTTCACAAAAGGAAGGCACGCACTTGGGTCAAGTGGGTGAGCCATGTCGTGTGGAGGTTCCCCTCTGACAGAACCCCTCTCCCTGAAGCATCTACATGCCGTCTCCCACCCTAGGATGGTCCTTCTCCACCAGGGGTGACTGTGCTCTCCAAGGGACACCTGGCCATGTCTGAAGACAGGTTTGATTATCACAATTGGGTACAGGGGAGGATGCTGCTCAACACCCTACAGTGCTTAGGATGGCCCCCACCACAGAGGACTAGCCCCAAATGTGAGAAGTGTCAAGGCTGAGAAGCCAAGGAAACTGCACACCTTTCAGAGAGTCTTACCTTCTGGTTCGTACATCTCTTCGCAATTTTCCAGTAGAGTAACTAGCTTCTCACAGTTCTCTGGCTTTTTTGCCTGCACCCAAGGCTTGATTCTTTCTGGTAGGATGGTCAGGTACTGCTCTAGGACCAAGAGCTCGATAATCTCCTCCTTGGTGCGCGTCTCCGGCTGCAACCAATCGAGGCAGAGGTTTCGGAGTTGGATCAGGGTCTTCCGAGGCCCGACAAACTCTATGTAGAGGAGATTCCGAAACCTCTGATGAGAGAATTCAGAGTCAGAGGCGCCTTCTCCTATGGTGGCATCCGGCTCCTTAATCAAGGCACTGTCTAGCTCATAGAGACCTGGGGCCCGGGACTTCTGAGATTTGGTGGCAGACAAGAGTTTTGGAGGCAGCATGGCTCTAAGTAAAATTCTCACTGCAGGAACCAGACATGAGTCAACAGGAGAGGCACGGCAGCCTGTGACAGTCAGAACCCAGGGACCTGCAGATCGTAAGGAGATACACATGTGTCCCAGGCAGCAAGTGGCGTGGGGCTATTCTACAAGGGGTGCCAACAATGCCCTGGGGACAGGCCAAGGCAGGGAGAGACATGCAAAGACCCCAGTGCACAGAAACACACATGGCTAGAAAGAGGCCGCCTCAGCATAGCAGTTGTACGTGTGACCTTCGGGCATTGCACAGGCCGCCATTTAGAGGCCTGAATTCTGCTGCTATTTCCCTGTGGCTTCCAAGTTTTCTGAACAAGCATCCATTACTTGTGTAGAAATACGATAAAACCACCATCAAGTTTTTCAATGCCGTTGCACCTTCTTTTTGCCATGATCAACCCTGTCAGAGATCTAATTTGTCTCAAAGGAACAAGCTTTCTGCTTCAATAATCCTCTATACTGCTTCCTTATACCTATTTCACTAGTTTCCTTAATTATCTTTACTTTCTCTTATAATCTGTCCTTTTTTTTTCCCCCTCAAATTTCCAGACTGGTTAAAAGTTGATTTTCAATCTTTCTTCTTTTCTAACATAACCCATTAAGACTATATATTTCCCTCTACCTAAAACATTTTAGTTGCATGTAAGTTTTATTATGTAGTCTTTTCATTTTTATTTTTATTATCATTGTTCCATTCTGTTTTCTGATTTCCACTATGATTTCTTCCTTCCTGCACAAAGTATTACAAAGTTCTGTGTTTTCAACTTTCAAAAGTATTGATTTCCTTTCTAAAGTTATTTTCTTGTTACTGATTTTTAACTTAATTGTACTATGGTCAGAGAGCATATCTGTTAGTTAAAAATCCTGATAGTAGATGATTATTAAAAATAAATAAATAGCTCTTAATGGTGAGGTATAGTGTCTTCTCTACCTAGATGCCGTCTAGGACATGCTTTTAAAGCAAATTTGTATTTTTAAAGAGAACTTAAAATTTAAGTAAAGCATTAAAATGAAACTTGAGACTAAAAAAGTTCTCCTGTTAACACACTAGCCTGATTCCCTCTACCTTTTGAGAGGGCCCATCAGAAGAATAAAGATCAGAGAACCTGTATCATGAAACGGCTCTCTTCCCCTTACAGAGAAGCTTTTCAAACTTTCATGCAGTTTTTGTGTGTGTGTGTGTGTGCGCCCTTACATTTTAACATGGCAACCCAACTGGTGCAGGCAATTGTGGGCAATATGAGAAAGAAATCTAGATTCTAGTGGGTGTATTAACTTACCTTACAGTTTTTTTTACTTCTGGTTTTACTTCCAGAAAGAACAAAACCATACGCAGCAAAAATTCTCTGCTTTTGTTTTAAAAGGAAAACCAATAAGTTTAAGATTGTTGTTGTCGGGTGCTGTCAATTTCAACTCATAGCAACCCCATGTGACAGTAGAACTGCCCCATACGGTTTCCTAGGCTGTAATCTTTACGGGAACAGATCTCCAGGTCTTTCTCCCGTTGAGCCGTCGGGTGGGTTCGAACCGCCGACCTTTCAGTTAGCAGCCTAGTGCTTAACTCTTGTGCCACCAAGGCTCGTTAGTTTAAAATTAAGTTTTTTTAAACGTCTAAAAAGAAAACAAAACTGTTTCAATCATTCCAAAAGTCTCAAACTAGGCTTTGTCACTTGGACATAAATGTAGTAAAATCAATCCCCCACTTTTTCTTCTCCGTGATAGGCTTATGCGCTCTTCCCTATGCAAACTGCCCTCAGCACCCATGACCCCAAACACACCCGACCATGAAGACCTCGGTGACTTGACTTCTCTCTCTCTTCCCTGCCCTCCCTCTTTCAGAAGGACCAATTACCATAGAGAGGACACTGAGTAATGCTCTGCTGGGCAGAAACATTTCAGAGGACAAGTGTGACGTTTCTGACAAGAGACCTGGGTAGACGAAATGCCAATGAGAAGGGCAGAGTCCAAAAAACACAACCTGCGGTACAGGAGGGAAAGGCAAGACCAGGAGCCCAATCCTGCTTTGTGGCACCCAGACACGAGAGAGCTCTCCTTCCCAGAGGCAACAGGAAGTTGTTAGGTATAGAAATCACCTGTTTAAGAACAGAATCCTTTCTGGAACTTCAGACCAAGCAGCCAGCATCCACTCTGTAAGTCTTCAGGAGCAGAGTCAAAATGCAGGGACCTGCAGTAATTTTAGAGACAGACATGTGGACTGATAAACATGGAAGAAATGTAGAAAGTTCCGGGATGGAGCGGGAGAAAAGTGTGGAGCAAAACTCAAATTCAAATAAAAAGACCAGACTTAATGGAACCCCCGAAACTATGGCCCCCAGATGCTCTGTTAACCCAGAAATGAAACCATTCCCGAAGCCCACTCTTCAGACGAAGATTAGACAGGACTATATAACAAAAATAATACATGCAAGGAGTGTGCCTCTTAGTTCAATTAGATACACGAGACCAAACGGGCAGCTCCTGTCCAGAGGCAGGATGAGAAGGCAGGAAAGGACAAGAACTGGTTGAATGGACACAGGGAACCTGAGGTAGAAAAGGGGAGTGTGCTGTCACATCATGGGGACTGCAACTAATGTCACAAAACAATATATGTATAAGTTTTTGTATGATAAACTAAAAAAAAGAAAAAAGAAATGTAGAAAGAATGTCAGAGAATTAATCCCCAACATGGCCAAGGACTTGGATAGTATTAGGGGCAAGGTCTTATAAATCTTCAAGAAAACACCAGTGTCACATAAACCAAGCCAGAGATGAGAAACAGAAAGCTCTCAAGTTTTCTGTGTGAAACTAGAATATTCAAAAACCTAAAAATAGCACTGCTGCAGATAGAACTCACATATGAACACACACATAAAAATCTTCACACAGCTATTACTGAGTATTGTTCTATGGAGTTCTACCCAATTACAATAAGAAAAACAAACCAGAGGCATAAATAAATAGATGAAATTATCATTCTTTTATGTAAGATTGTCCACTCAGACACTGCAAATCAATTGGAAATACACCTTATAATAATCCAATAACGAAATAACTTAGATAACAGATTCTTATCAATGATAAGAAATGAGAAAAAATAGGGAAAAGGAGTCATCACAAAAATAAAAAGATATAAAGAAAACAGCACCCATATGAAAAAATATATATAAATTGTATCAAAATATAAAAGGCAACAATGGAGTACTGTGCTCCTTCAACAAAAATCATCTATATGAAACCAAACAATCAACAATTACTTTAGAACAAATATGGGGCAGGAAAACTAGATTAATGGAAATGGAACAACCAGCTCACGTGTTGCGAAGATGTAACCAACGTCACTGAACAATTTGTGTAGAATTGTTGAATGGGAACCTAAACCACTGTGTAAACCTTCATTGAAAATACAGTAAAATATTATTTAAAAAAAAAAAAGAAAAGGCAATAACTAGAGAGACACAGGGTGAAAAGATGCATGGATTTGGCAAATTAAAGCGCTAAATCCTCCCCCAAATTAATCCATGTATCTAATGTAGTTCCAATGATAATGTTAATGTTGGGAATTTGATGATGGTTCCAAAGTTGACCTGTGAGAATTCCACTTGAATCAATATTTTGAGAAAATTCACACATCAAAAGGCCAACATGCCACATACCCAATTCAAGAAAGATTTTAATATAGTCTCAGGGGATGATGTCTAATGGCAGAAAGAAATGATTAAAAAAAAAAAGATGGTCATGAAATGTGAGGAAACAAAACAAAGCCAAAATCCCTGTAAATTTAGGACAAAAATACTAATGCATTAAGAATCATAGTGTGGACTTGCCATATATAGTTGATTATTCAATATTCCATGAAAGGGGCATTGAAAAAACAGTAAGGAAAGTATGGATTATTTCAATAAAGAGTAATAAAAAAAAACTGAGGGAAAATCTATGCCATATCTAAAAGTGTTAAAAGCAAAATGAGAATGCAGGAAAAAAAAAAAAAAACTAAACAAAACAGAGATCATTTTCAATTAATGTTGGGGCAAGGAAGGGCCCTTCCAAAAACTCTAAAGCCAGGAGATATTATGGACTACTCTGACCTTATATACTTGTACAATATGTGAATTTGTCCCCAAAAGGCATGTATATGAAGCATAAAATACCACTAGGTGAAAACTACATATAAAAACTCCACAGGTTTAAAGAGTCTGACAGAAAATCAACAACTTTTTTCCTGAGAAAACATAAACAGCCAAACCTGACTCAAGAAGCAGATAAAAATATGAATACCAGGGAGGAAATTTAAAAAAATGAAACGTTTTAAGGAGCAACTTCCCATAGACTTTCCATGAACAGAACAGTTGGTGTGTTATGAAAACACTTCCAGAGCACAGAAAAAAGAAGACTTCCTGCTCATTAATAACACAACCACTCGAATGCCCCTAAGTAACTCATTACAAGGTAGATGGCAACCTCTGTGCCAAAAAGTCATTTATTCCTTTTCTCAAGAAATTCAGGACCAGAGCAAACAAATACAACCTTCATTTAAAATGCCCAGTTTTCAAAAAAATCAAAAATAAAATGCCCAGTTTTCTATTTGTGCCAACAAAAGAGCCCTTGGTCAACAGGAGAGTTAAAAAAGGAAAAGATTTTTAACAGGAAAACTAGGCTTTCACTACTCCTTCCCATATGACAAGGGAGGCTTAATTTGAAAGTAAAAAAGGGCCAGGGGAATGAAATAATCAGAAAGATGTAGACTATACTTACGTGTGTATGTGAAAAAATAGGTATACTCATATCCTGTTTGTGGTAATGAAAATTTTATGAAGGGCAATTTGACTACTTACCAAAACTATAAAGGCACATATCCTATGCTGTAGGTAAACACTACTCCTATGAATCTATCCCAGATATACCCACAAATGTGTAATGAAGTCTGGGTAAGAATATTCACTGAAATTTTGTTGGTAACAGACAAAATATGGTATTATTCATATAACGTATTATTATGGGTTATCTTTTAACATAATGAGGCAGCACTGAATAAAGGGATATAGGCTGATCTCTGATTTAAAAAAAAAACAAACCTGTAGCCACTAAGTCAATGCCGACTCACAGTGACCCTATAGGACAGAGCAGAACTGGCCCATAGAGTTTCCTAGGCTGTAATCTTTAGGGAAGCAGACTGCCACATCTTTCTCCCGTGGAGTGACTGGTGGGCTCGCACCACCGACCTTCCAGTTAGCAGCCGAGTGCTTAACCACTGTGCCACCAGGGCTCCTTCTAAGATAGACAGTTAAGTGCAAAACGGGGCAGAACAATGTGAAAGCATTCTCAGAAACGATAAAACACATATGTGCTTACTTACGCATAGACTATTTCTGGAAGGCTATATGAGACTATATTATAATAGTGACTGCCTCTGGAAAAGGGAATGGGGACCAGGTGAGGAAGGGCAATTTACTTTTTCACTGTATATTCTCCTTTTGTTTTTATTTAATTTTTTTACCATGATCATGTATTACCTAGTCAAAAAAATAAATCCAAAGTTAAAACAATAAACAGAACACTACTAATGGCCTTTAGAAGACGTTGCATGGCCCCAAGGAGGCAGAGGCAGCACTAGTATCTTTACACTGATGCTGGAGCCCCATCCCTCCCTTCCACCCCATCTGTGGCTTGCTTGCAAGGTAGTGTCCTAAACTGGTCATCTGTATATGGCAAGGCAGGCAATGTAGAAAACCCGAAAGAATCAACTTTAAAAGCTTTCAGAAGACCCAATACAAAAATGTATGGAAATTGAAGTTGCAAGTATCAATGTACCCCTCCAATCTCCCGTGATCACTGATACTTAAAATACAATACCACCCCCTAGCCTAGCAATTCCACCTCTGAACTCTACCTCATAGACCTACCTACTTATGTAAACAGACATAGTTCAAAAGTAAGTTCACAGAAACACTGTTCACAACTGCGAAAAGCAGTTAAAGTCAGCCAATAGTATCTGGTGGGGCAGGAAACAGCACAGACTGCATAAATCTGAATTGCTAAAGCTAACAGCACTTCTAAAATAAAATCTTTCTGTACTGTTTGGATTTACCACGTACATTCAAAAAATAATTTAGTTTAAAATAGCACTTAAATTTATTCTTAAAATAATTTAAAAATAACAAAACCAAATCCACTGCCGTCGAGTCGATTCCGATTCATAGTGACGCTATAGAACAGGGCAGAACTGCCCCATAGGGTTTCCAAGGCTATAATCTTTACAGAAGCAGATTGCCATATCTTTCTCCCAGAGTAGCTGGTGGGTTCAAACCACTGACCTTTTGGTTAGCAGCTGAGCGCTTAACCACTGCACCACCAGGACTCTTGACAAAAGTAACAAGGATGTATATTACTCAAAATGCAAGGGAAAAAATTACTATTTGTAGTACAGTGAACTGTCCATATAGATGCTCATTTGAATACTCACAAAAGTGTAAATTCCTAAAAGGAAGGAAATCGCTTAAAAAAGATGAAGTCTTAATGAAATGTATGTGATCATAAAGTTTTCAAAAAGTTTTGTAGCTTTATTGTTTCCTGATTACACACATAAGATATGTACATTTAAACATTACAAAAATTTAATGTAAAAACCATAAACCATATACACTGATCAAACCTATTGCTAGAACTAACCCTTTTAAAATCTATACATACACTAACATCTTATGTTTAACAAAATCAGATCACACCAGTTCTGCAATCTATATATGTACATATTTTTAAACTGGCTAATTTACAATGGGTACTTTTCCCTACCAGTACATATAGATCCACATCCTTCTTTCTAAAGGCCACGTGGTATTTCATTCTACGGATGTACCAGTTTATTTAAACTTGAAGGAAATAACTAATGTATAAAAAAGTTTAAAGCCTTAAATGAAAATGTTAGTGTATAAAATTGCACAGCACATGCGGTGTTCTTACTGCAAATATACCCATTTATATGTGCATAGAAAATGATGAGAATGTCCATCGAACGGAATATAATGCAGTTTTTAGAAAGCAAAGCTATAGATTGAAATGTATTTACATGGAAATTCTTCTAGGTATTGACAGAAAGAAACAACTGGAAAGCAGCATGTGTACGCAGGCTGAGAACTGGTGGTGGACTGTTACCAGAGGTCTTCAGTCGGCACACCACACCCTATCCCCACCGTCAAACATTTCTCCTTGCTTCACTGCCGTAGCCTGAAATGCTTAATGAATACATAGCCTGAAATGTTTAATGAATAGTATGATGTCACTATGTAAAAAAAAAAGATTAACTATTTAAGTACTTACATAGGTAAGTAAATGTACAAAAGTATGTACAAATTAGACTACTGTAGACCTCTAGGGAGGAGTGACAACAGTATTTTATCAGCGGTGTAATTTTCACGTTTTACTTATATTTCTGCACAGTATGAATTGTATATAAGAATGTGTTCATGTAAAGTTGTACAAAGACTATTCATAAAATGGGTGAAATCTAGTAGAAAAAATAAAACATTAAAAAAAGATTAAGAAATGTTTCCATTTCTTTCTGCATTTCTATCTAGAAGTTCACAATTAGAAAACAGTATTTAATATAAAAATATGCTGTTTTCAAGGGTCTTTCCCTTTTCCTTTCTGCACTGCTTGAGACTGCTCACGACTCCCTTCCTCCTGAAGGCCCCTCCCATGCTGTAGTCCCACGGCTTCCCTCTTAACACTCACCACCTCGACTCGCCTGCCTTTGGGGTTTCCTTTAGGCACTCTGTGGTGTCCTCCTTTCACTATCTGCACATCCCTCTCCGGTGGGTGCGTCCCTAGCTCCACGCCTAAACCCTGACTTCACTGATAGCTGTCCCATCTGTCTCTTCTGAATTTCTGCCACATGGCAAACCCATCATCACCTTTATTTCCTGCATCACCACTCCCCCAACCCCATCTTCCTCTGCTCTCCTTGTACCACAAATCCTGGAGTAACTCAAGAAGTAGCCAAGGGTAAGATTTCAAGATATGACCACAATTGGCAGTCTGGGGGCAGGGGCTGACTCTGTAGTTCAAGGGACTGAGGGAGGCCACTAATGCTGAGGGGAGGGAAGGAGAGAAGTCAAATGATTGGGACCAGTTTGAAGCCTCACTGTCCATACGGCTGGGCAAAGAGGATGGGTATTTATGGGTTTCTGGCTGTTCAAACTTTTGAAGAATGTTTGTAAACACACTGGACATCTAAGCATGAAACAGCCTTTTATGTACCGAGTAAAGTTGCATTCACAAGCTGGATGCATCCAAAACCACAGGGCAGTGGTGCTGTTGGTTGGATTATAGTGCTGCCATTTTGGTCTGTGTGATGGTTTTTCTGTCACTCTTGGAATATTTCACATTTTACTATTTTATAAAAATGAGTAGAAAACAAAAGTGTAAGTCTCAACTATTAATACCACTAAAACAAAGAATTCATCGGGCATCCTTACCAAAAGTGGGAGATCTCTGGCCTCAATCAGATCATTAGATCAAGTGTTCAACTGAGAAGAATTCAATCTAAGAACATGTATCAGAGACCAGAAATGTGCCTGGGACCGCGGGAGACAAAGAGATTCTGCAACCCTAATATATGACCTTAGGCTCCCCACATCCCATCACATCAGACACAAAAGAAAGCTCTGTGGTACCTCCTTCTCCCGACTTTTACTTACTTGGTTGCTCAGCATGGTGCACCTAGATTCAGCCCCCTAGCTCATTCCACCTACTGCATTAAGGGGGGCTGGAATCAAGAACTTTAAAGTCAGGAGGGAGAAAGTTACTGTCTTCGCTTCTCAGGGACAGTGTGGTGTGTGGTTATCTTCTCTCTTCTCCTTTGTTCCATTCTCCTGCCTCTTTCTGCAGATCGACATCCTCTACTTCAGCATACACGTGGAGTTAAGATGCTGTCCCGGCACCAGGCCTACGTCACCTCCCAGTTTAAGTACCCAACACTGGCAGACCAGTCAGTCAACGTCTCCCTTCATCCAAATCCCCAGTCTCAACATGCACACTACAGCTTAACTCTTCCTAGCGTCACGGCTCTTGAACTCTGGTGGGCCACAAAGTCACGTGGGGTGCTAATGAAAAATGCTGCTGCCTTTCTAGGTATGACAGTTCAGGTCTGTGGCTCCCTGGGAAAGTGGCATCTTAACAAGCACTCCATGAACTGTACTTTGAGAACTACTGCTCCAGGCTGAGGAGCCAGATTCGTCCAATCAACTATGGACAAGGTCCGTGTGAGATAGCACACGCTGTTGGGAGAAGAATTTTATACGGAAATGTGAGCAAGGAGGAAAGGAACACTACCTCTACTACACCATCCATGGTCCCCACCCTCTGGTCTGTTGGACAGCTCTTCTCATATTCTCCACAACACCCTGGGCTTACTGCTATTGCATAAACTCAGCATTAATCACACATGTGGCAAAAACGGCTTTATTGTTGTCCATTCCTGAGGGATTCCCCCAAGATTTAGAAACAGAGGAAATAATACCAAGAAGTGTTTTATGATCAGCCCAGAAATGGCTGAAGACAAATGTAACTACTTTAAAAAAAAACAAAGTATCTTCCAAGCCAGTATGACTTATTTGACCCTATTTTGATATAAATAATTGGTTGATCATATTTTCTTAAAGGGAGGAGAGTGTGACAAAGACAGCCAGAAAGGCATATACAGGGGAGATAGCTACTCTGTCACGTACCTAATTTGAACAGAGATGGGGGTAGGGAGAGTTGTGGATAATAGGTTTCAGTAACCCTAGCAAGAGCTCTGTAACGAGATGGCTGCACTAGGCCACCATATGGGCTGGTGTTACTAAATAGTTCATCCACATCCTCTTGTACTGACTCCATGTTCACCAAGCAGCCTTCTCGTTCTGGTCTCTTTTTCCATGTAGGTCTCCTATGTGGAGAGAATGTGCTGATCGCACATACTTTTGAGTATTTAGGTCCCTGCTACAGTGATCTCCCACAAGTTTATGAATCAAAATTGAGGGGATGGGAACATCCTATTTCATTCACACAACTTTTCAACATAAACTAAGAACCTCTGTATCGTTTATATACGTCTCCTCAGCTCCACTAATGTGGACCTACCAGTGTAACAGGAAACCACAGGCAAGATAAGGTTTCTAAGTCTCCACAGGTTTAAGCACCAGACGCTGAATACTTGCAGCATTCACTGAGGCCAAGAATATACCACCTCAGCCCAGAAGACCACTTGAGGAAACAGGTTGGCCTTTTTCCAGGTGGTAACACAATGTCAACATAGCCACCTATCTCGGTAAGCACGTTTTCTTACTCTTCATTTAATTGGAGTTCTCATTCAGCAGACATTGAGGCCAGGAATGAGGTCACTCATTGCCAAAGACCCAAAGTCTAGCCTAAGCCTGTCCCAGACCAGGCACGGTGTCAATGCTTGCTGACAGAATGGACAAGTTTTGGTTATTCTGGTTATTTTGCTCACTTCCCACATAACGTGGTTTACTGAGACTGGTCTTAATCCATCAATAAGCCACGAACAGAGTATGAGTCCCATTGAGTTCGCCTCAACACCTCTCCACTGCACTTCTCCCCAACCATCTCTCACCTAGGATTCAGGTGGTCTCCCTGCATTCACTCATTTCCACCCTCCCCTTCTCCACCCTACAACCAAAACGTTTAAAACACAAATCTGATTGGCGTGTTACTCCTGCAATCCTAATACTTCAGTGGCTTCCCGCTGTACTTCAGATCAAGCCCAAATACTTACCACAGATTAAAAGACCTTTCATAATCTACCTCCAACTTAAGTTTTCCCCACCTCAACCAAATGTCATTGTACCCCCTTTCCCTCAGTCTAGGTATCCCAGATTTTCAGCTCCTCTCTCTGCACCCCTCAGGAACATCCCTGTCCCCACTACTTAGACTACTCTTCCCACAACACACCATCCTCCAGGGCTCCGCTTTAATGTCACTAATTTCTCTGAAAGGCCTGATGTAGCCTCGCCCTGATTAAGTTAGTTGCCCAAAGTGAATGTTTTCCTTCAAAGGCATGAATGACACAATTTTTTTTTTTAATGTCTTTAATTCCCCATAGATAGTGAACTCTGTGAAAATACTTCCTTTCCCATTTGTGGCCATGTTTCCAGTGCCTGGCAGATAGCATACACTTGATCGATATTGGCAGATGAACCGATGACTCTCATGCATCTTTAATCACCCCAGTAAGAAAGAAAGAGCAGGCCCAAATGAGCAACTCAGTGTTAGGAAAAGAGGTGAGACATTGGGAAGGATGGCAAGGAGCCAAGGAAGAGAATTTCTGGCAAACACGTGACCCAGCAGAAGAGTCCATGCTTTCTCAGAGGGCATACAGGGGGCTCGTGTGGCTATACAGAACATATGTACAGTAGAGAAGTGTCAGGATGAGGAAGGAACAGTGGCAGCTTCAAGGATGGGTATGGCCTGTGAAGACGGAATTCAACTCACCTGGACCCAGGCACCTGATGTTTAGAGCAAGTCTCGCTTCCTCTTGCCAGTTGCCTCTGAGAAGGGTAGAAGCTTGAGAAGGCAGAGCTGAGGAAGGAAAAGAAAACATGAGATACTGAATTTACTTGGCAGTGACCAGATTCCTCAGGCTGGAAATGATCCTGCAGCAGTTGCGTCTTTATCTCCTGCAACAGCAAAGATGAAATGAGATCAAAAGTGCAGCTTCCCCCTTCAGGACGGAAGGGTCACGGGCAGCGCTCCCTGGGATGCATGCTGCACCCTGGGCTGTAATCGCAGCCTTTTCCCAATGAGGTTATGTCAGTGGTGCACAAGTCAATCTCCAGGTGTTGTGGAACTTTCTCTGCCAAGCAGTAAAGCAAAATAGTAAAGAACCCGGGCTTTGGGTTAAGAAATCAATTCAAGAATCTAACTTAACACTTAGTAGCTACGCGGAACTGATCATCTCTCAAAAGGCAAAAGGCCACACATTGCTGGTAAAAATTGAAGGAAAAATGACTAAGAAGGTACTATCATTTACGTGCTATGTATGGTTCTTACACCTCACTATCTCTATTAATGCTCACCACAACACTACTGTATTACTTTTATAGTCCTCATTTTACAGAGAAGAAACAGAGGCTAAAAACTCAACCTCAGAGCTCCGGACAAAATATTACAGATTACATTTTAAAAAACAGAAAATCCAGTGATGTTTTCTATGCAGATCATGTATAGTAATTAATGGTACAGGTACCCGTTAGAAAATGAGTTGAAATTCCAGTTCTGCCATTTAGTAGCCAAAGATATAGGACCAAAAGTTTAAGCATGCTGTAAATTTAAGTAATATGAAGAGACTAGCCTACATTAAGTTCTTAATGCTATTATCATTGTCATTAGATAATGATATCATTATTTATACATGTGTAGTTCTTTGGGGTTTATAAACCTGCTCCTGTAGATTAAAACTCTACATTACAAATCCCACTGTACCTCAGAGCATGTGTTCAATCAGAGGCCCCTGGGGGAGGCAGCTACATGATTACGGCTCTGGTTTATGTTCTATGTGTCAGTAAAGAGAAAGAGCAGGAGTCATGGACCAGGACACCAGGTTAAAAACTGGAACTTTCCGGCACGCAGACCCTGGGTGCAACCCTAGGCTTGGCCATGCTACTTCACAGCAATGTGACCTGAGTAATTTATTTAAACTGAGACTCAAAAAGTGATACCTGACACTGGTTTTGAATTCTTAGAGGTTTCTAAACTTTATTCAATTTGATGGCATTATGAATATGAGCAGTTCGTTTTCACTTTTTAACCGTATCCTGCGATTACTTCTTGGAGGTGAGTGTATTTCAGTAAAATTCAAAGAGCGTATTTACTAAAAATGAATTCAACATTTACTGATGCTTAATAAGTGTCAATTATTATTGCTAATAGTATCAGTCACTGGCAAACGTATACTTGTGTTTCCCCCATCACGTAAATGAGAAGGGGCAATCCTGTGTGTGACTTTTCCTACTTCAAAAGCTCACGTTTCATCTTCAGTACACAAACTCGGTGAAAGCGGGTTCAACGTTAAAAACCAATGTAGCCCTCTAAGCCTCAACAAGAAAACTCTGCGCATGCGCAGTCCTCCAGAACGCAGGCCAGCCCCAGAGTTACAGCACCCGGAATTCTGCACTCGTGCACTGGCTCCCGCCCTGCCTCCTGGCAATCCTGAATTTGGGAAGGCCCACATCAAGCCACACCCCCTACCCAGCACACTTCTCGCCTTTATCACTTTCCCCGCCACGCTGCCTCAGAACCATCAACAGTTTTTGAATTCTCTTCTCTACATTTTCCTTTGCTTTCCCACCCTCCTCAGAGCTTCCGTATTACTCAAGCCCTGAATCTTATTATGCCCAAAGTTCCCCTCTTCTGTCTTCTCATTTAAAATCCTGCCCTTTCCCAAGTCTATCAAGACTCTTAAACGTTGAACCTCACCTTTTTCTTCCTAATGAACCTGAGTACTCATAGTTGGGCCTAATCCCCGTATCTCCTGTGGGTTGGCTCTGAAACGGGGAGAAGCCACGGAGCCCTTCGGAGCAAACAGCGCCCAGCAGCCGCCAAGATGGCGCTGCTGCGACAGACCCCGACCAACTCCACCCGCATACGGCGTCCTGTCGCTCCCTCAAAAACAGAGACTCGGGGCAGCCAGATCCAACTTCAAAGTGCACTCAACAGCACCTAGTCATCACCCCAAGCCAGAAGGCAGCCCTGTCCTCCTGCAGCCCCTAGAAGCGGCCCGGGATGCAGAGGCTTGGTGGCCCTATTGCTGGACAGGAAGATGGACACTGTATCCACCTTAACTGCAAGCACTCAAGATGGCGTCCACGCAGCAAACCAGCGAAGATGACGCGGAGTAGCGAGGGCTCGGCTGCAGGGACACAACAGCCCTGCGGCCGCCCCCCACAGCCTGCTGTCACTCAAGATGGCACCTGTGCAACAAACCTCAGCACCCTTCTCTCAGCCAGCAAAGATGGGACAGGTCTCTGCAGCCCCCGAAAGTCTCTCAGGACGCGACAACCCCTCGGCCACCCCCTGCGCCCTGCTGGCATTCAGAATGGTGCCTGCGTAGTAAGCCTCAGATGCCGCCCCTCAGGCCCTGACAGCGCAACCCCTGTCAGTCACTCAGGGCCCGCCCCTTGCAGCTATACTGTCATTCTGGATGGCGCCTGCGTAGTAAACCTCGGCTACCGCCCCCTCGGAGAGAAGCTCCCATCAGTCACTCAGGGTCCTCCCCCTGCAGCTCTGCTGTGATTTTGATGGCGCCTGTGCAGTAAACCTCGGCTGCCACCTCTCGGCCAGCAAAGATAGCGCCAGAGTGGGCAAGGCTCTGCAACCATGTCAGTCACTGAGGACGTGACAGCCCCCTTGGCCCACCCCTGCAGCCTTGCTATCACTCAGATAGCGCCTGCGCGGTAAGCCTCGGCTGCCACCTCTTGGCCAGCAAAAATAGCGCCAGAGTGGGCAGGGCTTGGCCCCGCGTTAGTCTCTCAGGACACAATAGCCCCACCCTTGGACCCAACCCCTATGGCCCCACTGTCACTCAAACTGGTACCTGCGCAATAAGCCTTGGGTGCCCCCACCGTGGCCAGCAAAGGCGGGGCGAGGGTGGCCAGGGGTCTGCAGTCCCCAGTATCTCTAAGGACAACTCTTTGGCCGTGTCCCTTCGGCCCGCTGACAAGGCCCCTGTGCAACACAACTCGGCTATCCCCCCTCAACAAAATGAAACCAAACATCAGAGGGTGAAAAAAGCCTCGGCAGGCAAAGACCGCCGACAAGGGGAGGGGGTGGTCTTCTGCAGCCCTCAGACTTAGCCAGGCACACCGACAACCTGTAGCCCTGTCCTCCAAACGGCTCCGCGGCATTAGCAGCTACAGCACATTCTGAACCACGGCAAACTTTAGGCGCTCCAGCCAACAGTGCCGCAGTCACTAGCCGTCGCCCAATCTCAGAAGTCAAAGCTTGGACCCCACACCAGTCAAGGTGGCACTGTCAAATGCTACCACCAGCCCCGTCGACCAGCAAAGATGGTGCGAGGCAAGCAGAACCCTGGAGCCTATCACTGCAAACACAGGACCACCGCAGTCACCGCGGCTTCGGCCCCGCCCATCACTGCAGCCAGCCAGTCAACACTGCGCTTGCGTGGTCAGACTTCAGCAGCCCCATCAAAGATGGCGCCTAGGCAGGCGGGGCTCTACACTCCTGTCAAGGTACAGAGCAGAGACACCCCGCAGTCAAGAAGTCCCTCAGCCCCACCCGACCACAGCCAGCCAGTCAGCACAGTGTCTGCACAACAAACGTCATTTGCATTCAGTAAAGATGGCGCTGGAATGGGCAGTTCTCTACTGCCCAACTCCGCCCCGAGTAGCCCCGCCCCCTTGCGGCCCTCCACTACTCTTGCCAACACTGCGGCAAAACAAGTCCCGCCCCCTGAGACTGGCAGGGAGCGCAGGGGCGAGCCCAAGAGGACCCAGCCAATCAGTGACCAAGTGGGAGGGGGCAGCTCTCTGCAGCCCCCCACATCCAGGCGAGCGGGCGAGGGGCGCCACGAAAGCCACGGCCCCGCCACTTATCTGGCGACTGCCTTGTGCAGACTCACCAGTAATATGAATCCTTGGCCCTCTAACTCGGGATTGGCGCAGCAACTGCCCCCTACCCCGACAAGATGGTGCGGGGAGCCCCGCAGGTCCCCTGCCACCTCAACAGTGGGCCCCTCCCCCGCGGACCCCGGCCACGCAATATGGCGCAGCTGCGGCAAACCGCGGCAGCCCCCGCCCACTGACCCAGGCCAGCAAGCCTGGGGCTGCAGCACTCCCGAGCACCCTCGAGGACCCTACAAAAGCGATGTAGGCCACCTTGACCACCGTGCTGTCCACACCCACTCAGCCATCAGCAATGGTTTGGCCGTGGCCGACGCTCCCCCCACTCCTGTCCAGACTCCGCCCAGCCTTACCCCCGGCTGAGGAGGGACCTAGGACGGTAGCGTTAAGAGGCGCCGCAGGACAGTGGTCTTCGGGCCCACGACGCCATGGCCTAAGCACCCCCCTTGACGCCACGGGAACGGTGGCCGGGAGGACTCACCTCACCGCACGCACGCCGTCCCGTTGGCAGGAGGCTGCTCCAAGTGCTGCCCGGGCCGCTATCTAGCACACCCACCCGGCACCGGGCACCCGACGGTGCCACCAGCCCAGGGTCGACATGTCCGGCCGGCCCGCTAGGCTCCCCGACCACCTCCTCCTGCGGCTCCCAGGCGTCTGGACAGAGCCTCTGCCAACGACTCCTTCTCAGGTCTCCTCCGCAGAGGCGGGGCCGTGGTGTGGGCCAATCAGCAGCCATGCTGTCCGCCCCAGGGTCCTCACCACACCCCCACGCCGTGCAAGTCGGCCCCAGTTGCCATGACAACGGCTTGGCGCGAAGGCTGGCGGTTGACGTAAACCTAGCGAACGCAAGGGGCCCAGAAGAGGGGTCTGGAAAAGAGGGGTGTAGTGGGTGCTACCCCCAAACAAAGAAATGAGGGAGAAGTGGAAGAAAGCACATCACCAGTGCCTCAGCGCAAAACAGCTCAAGAAAAGAGAAATGCACATACATCTAAGAAACGAAAATCTGGCAGGAAAAAAAAAACCACATATATCAAACTCTCAAGACAACAAGCTAGGAGACAAGACTTCTCCACCTGGGACACAAGAAAGACACGGGGCTTATGTCCTTCATAAACGAAGAGTTCCTGGAAACCAATAAGGACCAAACCAAGCCTGGGAAAATGGGGAAAGGGGTGGAAACCGGCGACTCAGAAAAAACACAAATGGCTGACAGACCCACGGAAGGGCAACCACGACCTTACTCCTAGAGAAACGCAAAACCCAAACACTGGGACGTCGGGAAAGGGTAGGGAACAAGCACTCTCAACAGGCTGCACTCACGACTTCAACATCAACCTCCCATGGCATAAATTCACCGCAGGGCCATTTAATAAACAGCAAGAAACTGACAGATCGATAACGTGTAAACAAATGAGCTGAGCGCTGATGTAAGGGCGTACTATGTAACCTAGGAAAATAGTGAGGTAGAGTTGTATGGGACTAACAAGGATCCATGTCCCAATAGATTTAGTGAAAGATACAAGTTGTTGAACAATTTGTAGACTGTGAACTGGTAATGTATTTCTTTTCCAATACTAAAATTCATGAATTAAAGAAAGCTCATTAATGTATCCTTTGATCCAACGATTCCACTCCCAAAGAACTGATGGAGAGGAAATAAGCAGAGCTGTGCACAAGATTATATGCAGGCACATTCAAGGAGCATCATTTTTACCAGCAAAAATGTACTGCACAGAAAAAGATTAAATCCTATTCAGGTAAATCCACACATCACAGTTTTATAGAGCCAATAAAAATGTTGTATTAGTTTAATTTTAAAGGGAAAAAATTCATAAGATACGGATAATTACACAGTGTAGGCTACCCAAAAGCACACAGACTACGATACCCAAAATTAAGAAGTGATCAGTGGTTGCTTGCTACATTAAGAAGTTGCTACACTGAGGGTGGGGGATACTTTAGACTCCCCAAATCTTCAACAGCTTCTTCTCAACCAGTGCCACATAAACATAAAATCCAAATGAAAACACTGTGCTTGCTAATGCAAACATACTTCAGAACAAGTTCCCCAGCTGCCTCTAAAGAAATTCTAGAGGCACCAATAAAAGTGACGGAGGTACTATCTATTTCCAGATCAGAGGCTTTCAAACCTGGCTACCCATTAGGATTATCTGATGAGGTCTTCAACAGGCAGATGCCCAGGATTCCACCCAACAGAGATGTTAGGTCTCCAGCTCCCCAGGTGATTCGAGCATCTGGGTAAGGTTTGGGAAGTGTTAACAAATTCAAAATACAGGTAGTCCTTTACTTACGATGTATTCAAGTTATGTTGAACCGCACTTACCACCATCTGTTTTTCCCCCCCTTTGGTACATCTTATCGTTAGTAATATGTACCACATACAATGTTGCAGCACATAATTTGCTGATGTTATCATTCTCAGATGTTCACTTGCAGGTATTCAAGGTTATAATTTATAAAGATACGATAATAAAAGGCAATAATAATGAAAATTTTTTTTTAAAAAAAAAGAGGTATTTGACTTACCTCAGAACTGACTTACAGAACCCAGTCGTAAGTCGGGGACTACCGGTGCTCACCTCAGGACCCCATACCCTCTCTCTCCTTCTCAAAGGCTACTGTCCAGAAATAGCAATTTAACTATGAATCCCAGCTCATTCCCATCAGAACTACGTGCTCTCAGAGTTCCTGCAGCTACCACCCCACTTCTTAGGCTCCCCCACATGGTAGAGCCTCTTGATGGAGTAGTCTACTGTCAGTGACTCTGCAGCCTCACCACATTCTCTCCTCCTCCTATGCTACAGGGGCTCCTACCCCTTCCACACCCAAACCTGCTTGACAGTCTCAGCAATTCCCTAGGTGACTAGGGAATCTGTTTTGAAGGTGTATTTGAAGGCCAAAGACTTCCATGAATTCAATGGCCATTTCTGTTCTTTAATCTCACTTGCTCTCTTCAGGATTCAACAACATCCTCATTCAATCAAACAAATGAAAGCCCCAGCTATCTTATCTTCAGTGACACTACACTGTTCTGCTTTTCTCCCTCATCAACGGCCTCTTCTCCTCCACTGTTTTATGACTGGCTTCTGCTCGTTCAAAAAGAAGCCCTGGTGGCTCAGTGGTTAAGTGCTTGGCTGCTAACTAAGGTCAGTGGTTCAAACCCACCAGCAGCCCTGCAGGAAAAAGATGGGGCACTCTGCTTCTGTAAAGATTTACAGCCTGGAAACCCTATGGGGCAGTTCTACTCTGTCCTTTAGGGTCGGAACTGACTCCATAGCAGTCGAGTTTGGTTTGGTTTTTTGGGTCTGCTCTGTTCAACCTCGAAATGCTGGAAGGTCTTGTCT